TTTTTTTTTTTTTTTTTTTTTTTTTGAGACGGAGTCTTACTCTGTCTCCCAGGCTGGAGGGCAGTGGCATGATCTTGGTTCACTGGAACCCCCGCTTCCCAGATTCAAGCAATTCTCCTGCCTCAGCCTCCCGAGTAGCTGGGATTACAGGTGCCCGCCACCAGGCCCGGCTATTTATTTATTTATTTATTTATTGAGACACAGTCTCACTCTGTTGCTAGGGCTGGAGTGCAGTGGCACGAGCTCGGCTCACTGCAACCTCCGCCTTCCGGGTTCAGGCAATTCTCCTGCCTCAGCCTCCCAAGTAGCTGGGACTACAGGCACACGCCACTACGCCTGGCTAACTTTTTGTATTTTTAGTTGAGTCGGGGTTTCACCATGTTTCACCATGTTGGCCAGGCTGGTCTCAAACTCCTGACCTCGTGATCCACCCACCTCAGCCTCCCGAGTAGCTGGGATGACAGGTGTGAGCCACCGTGCCCAGCCTGGGGAGATAGTGTTTTCGATCTGATGACTCTTTCATTTCCTGAAGGTGGTTGGTGTCCCTGCACCCGCCGTCATTCCTCTGCTTTCTTCCGTAGCAACAGCATCACCTGGGGGTCTCCCACCTCCTGAGACCTGGGGCTGAGCACTGTCAGGAGCTGGTGCTCACTGAGGATGAGAAGAAGCTGCTGGCTAAAGAAGGCATCACCCTGCCCACTCAGCTGCCCCTCACTAAAGTGAGTCTGGGGGGACTTCCAGCCCCGGGTCCATCTCCCCTTCGTGCACTTACCTGCGTGTGTGTCCCACATTTACTTATTTATTTACAGTCTTTCTGTGTCACCGAGGCTGGGGTGCAGTGGCACGATTTCAGCTCACTGCTACCTCTGCCTCCCAGGTTCCAGCGATTCTCCTGCCTCAGCCTCCTGAGTAGCTGGGACTACAGTCGCCCGCCACCACGCCTGGATAATTTTTGTATTTTTAGTAGAGGCGGGGTTTCACCATGTTGGCCAGGCTGGTCTTGAACTCCTGACCTCATGTGATCCTCCCGCCTTGGTCTCCCAAAGTTCTGGGCTTACAGGCATGAGCCCCTGCGCTGGCTATGTGTCTTACCTTTAGAATACCCGTACTAGAATGCTACGGTGTGTGTCACCAGATCCAAAACAATCAGCCAGAAACCCCATTGTAAGTTCAACTCAGAGGTTAATTATCAACATCCAGGAATGAATGGC